GATAAAGGTTCTCTGAGGACGTTCCGCAGTAGATAAAGGTTCTCTGAGGACGTACCGCAGTAGATAAAGGTTCTCTGAGGACGTTCCACAGTAGATAAAGGTTCTATAAGTATTTCTATGAGTAAAGTATTTCTGATTCTGATTCTATTCCACAGTAGATAAAGGTTCTCTGAGGACGTTCCGCTCTGTCTTTGGTGCAGCAGTGAAACCGGAGCTCCCTGCAGCTCAGACTGAAACTTGACTCCAGCAGAACAACGCTGTAGAAAGTCGAGGTTAAACTTTCTGTTTCCAGTTAGAACCCAAACAACAACAGAACCCGGAGGAATGACAGATTCTACAGAGCACTTCTGAAATATTCTTCTAATTATTGATTGATTTTTAAACATCTACAGTTCTCAGGGAACCAGGTTGGAATGAGATGGAACCTTTTTGGACAAACTGGAACCAGAACACGTTCTGTGTTTATGACAGGTGATTGATTGATTGATTGATTATTACTGATCAATCGTTCTCACGTTCCTAAATGTTAAATTAGTGTCGAAAAAGCTGCACTGTCCCTTTAAATCTGTCACACCTCTGTCAGTTAACGAGGTTAACGAGCACTGATCACAGAAACACACCTACAGGCAGACAGACAGCTGTCTCACTCTGCCCCCCGTCGCCATGAGAACGCTGTCTGTTTCTCACATGACGGGGAGCATCCCCCCGTTACCATGGCAATAATTAAAGGTGCTAACGAGGTGACAGCAGTCAGATATCTCTCAGGTGTCAGTCACCTGTAGGCCCCGCCCCCTCAGACTCACCTCTTTCTCGCAGATGAACAGCTGATCTCCCCTCAGAACCACAAAGCGGTTCTTCCAGATCTCTCTGAAGATCCCTTTCCCGCAGAACTTCCGGATCCAGCCCACCTTATCGGGCTGAACGTGCTGCTGCACCGAGTCCTTCGGGCCCTGAAACAGGAAACAGGAAGCTGTCAGAGGAGCACCGCCAGAGTAAGTTCACTTTTACTTAAACAAAGAATATTAATAAACTCTAAAACATAAAAACATCAGCCTGTTCTTTAGGATAAATTCAGAACTTTTGTCTTAAAGAACATTAAAATAACTCTTCAGGTCAGAGTTGTGATGCATAATTTAATCATTATTATCAATATCATAGCATTAAAATATAAAAATAAAATCAGTACAAATATCATATTTATTCACTATAAGCAGACTCTCACTTGATACTGATATTAATATGATTTAATGGCACTTATTAACGGTCATTAACCGTTAATAGTTTCCTCATTAACTCAATTATTCAACTTTAAATCAATCAGACCCTTATTCTGAAAACCGGAAGTCTGGTCTTATGGCAGCTTGCGGCTGTTGCCTTCAAAATAAAGGTTTTAAACTAATCCTTGAGGCTTTTGTTCCTCGAGCTCCGGTTTAACGGAATAAAGCGGACCGAGAGGAGCCGCCGGTGGCCGGTGTCGGTGCCGGTAACTCTCACCCGTTTCCCGGAGTTGTTCTTCTTCATGCTGGCGGCTGTCAGGCTGCCAGCGGCGGGATAATGACGGTACTTCACGCACTTTCACGGTAACTCCGTTATTCCTCCACAATGCGCCGCAGACCGGCGGGAGAGCGGAGGATGGAAGAGGGATAAAAGCTCTTAAAGTCCGGCAGGGAGGACCGGAGCTCCGCCGCAGCTCCGCCGCTCCTCAGCTGTTGATCCTCGGTGAGACTCTGCTCGTCGCCCCGCTGCTGCTGCTGCCGGGCTCCGCTGCACTCTGACCGGCCAGGAGCTGCTCAGTGAGTCGGTGTCCGGTTACTCCTCCTCCTCCTCCTCCTCCTCCTCCTCCGGACTCCCTGCTGGCTCAGCGGCTCCTCGGCAGCCCCACAGCGCCCCCTACAGGCAGACACCTCCTGGTGCCTCCTTTCTTCCCTTATAGTCCTACCTCTGTTTACAAATACTGTGTTCACAATAATACTGCAGTAAAAGTACAAATACTCCGTTACTGCAGTAACCATCATAAAAGTACTATAATAATAATAATAATAATAATAATAATAACAATAATGATTATTATAATAATAATAATAATAATAATAATGGTAATAATGATGATAATGATAATAATAAAAAAATAATAATAATGTTAACAATAATAATAATAATAATAATAATAATAATGATAATAATACATCAATAATGTATTGATTATACACCCCCTTCGTCAGCTCCT